TAAGACCCCAGTTACATGCTCCAGTGTTCTACTGGAAAGGTAGTGGTGGAAGGGTCTCTGGAGTGGTCTGTGAAGGACTCCTCTACCCAACTATTATATTACAGGCCACATTATATTTATATTTAAGCCGCAGGCATCAGGAATACCAAAGAGAATGCAGTAGGGTGATCCTGATGAAGTGTCTGTCCTCCATTATAGTATCTACACAGTCCAAAGGGGAAGAATTAGACCTGTCTGCTTAACTCCCACTGTGGTGGTGGGGTGAGGATGGTACCGGTTGAATGACTATGGGTTTTGGATTTGAGTTCCTCTGGGTCAGAGCTAAAGTGGGACTTTCTCACAAAAGCCAACATCTCTAGGAAAATTTGAGTTTCTAGCATGGGGAACTACACAACTGATATCTAGAATGCCAGAGGTGGAATCATGGCCAGCGTGGCTGAGCCAAGGTATGGGAGTTAGACAGAGATGCACTTTGAAATAAAATAGCGTTAAGAACAAATAAGAACAACTTGAGGAGTCTAGTCTAGCAGTTTGAGAGTGCTTGGTGCTGGAGGTCAGGTTGTCTCCAAGGGCTGTCTTTTGTTCCTTTGTAGTATTTTCAGCATTGGAAATGAAAAGTGGCTAGGATGAAAAGAACCGAAAAATATATCAGTTCTTCCCCCTCATCCCCCAACACATGCACAGTAAAAACCTTTTAGCAGAAGACTTTCCTTTTGCAGATTACAAATGAGTGCCAATGATGAGTCATTATTTCATGTTTACTCTTTAAAATTATCCTTGATATATATCAGAAGGGGCAGCAGCAGTGGGCAAGTTTCAAGCTGCTTTTTGCCAAAATCATCCAGGGACTCATGTTAGTGACTAGGGCATCCTAGGGCCTTTGTGAACCCTGCAGATGCCCCCCCATCTCTTGAGTCTGAGAACTCCTTTTAGGCCCCAGGGAGCTGCTTCTTTAAAGACTTCTTTAGTGCGCTAAGTGCTTTTCTAATGCTGGCAGAGGGCGGGAAATGGAAGAAGCTTAGATTTTACCAAGTAATGGAAAATCTCCAAATCACTTTTATCAGCTTTATAGTCAGAAATGTCCTCAAAAGCATTACATTACTTACAAATTTGCTTTCCCCTCTCCCTGACATCTGGGTGGGGTAGCATATAAAGGGGTGAGGGGTACCTTGCCTTAACCAGCTCATGTTTTGGTGATAATTAAAAAGAACTGATTCTTTTATTTATGATTTGTTTGTTTGTTTGGCCTATTACAATACTGAGAGAAAAAAAAACAGTTTTAAAATAACTTAAAAGTAATAATTTAATAATGTAAAAATTCTAATAGCCAAAACTGTTTTTTTTTCCCTAATGGACAACCAAATAATTCTAGAACAATGATTATTTCTCTTTTTCGAGACAAGATCTTGCTCTGTCACCCAGGCTGGGGTGCAATGGCGTGATCACAGCTTATTTCAACCTCAAATTCCTGGGCTCAAGCAATCCTCTCGCGTCAGTCTCTTGAGTAGTTGGGGCTTCAGGCATGCACCACCATGCCTGGCTAATTCTTAATTTTTGTAGAAACAAAGTCTCACTTTTTTGCCCTGGCTGGTCTAGAACTTCTGGCCTCTCAAAGCGTTGGGATTATAGGTGTGAGCCACTGTGCCTGGTCCCGATTATCATTTCTTCTCAACATGATTTTAAAGTATTCTTTAAAAGTGGATATGTAAGTGCTAGACATTTTCTGGTTTAATAAAAAGCTTTTGTATAATCAAATAGCACATATCTGTGCACAAAATGGTGGACTAATAATGACTTGGAAATTAATTGTGAAAAGGACTTTGGCTTATAAATATTTATTTCTCTATTCATTCATTCATTTTGCATTACCAAATGCCTGCAATGTGAAAGGCACTGTGTAGGTGCCAGAGGTTCAAGGAGTATTTAGAAAGTTACTCATGGAGCTAACAGTCTAACAGAAATATACTCAAGTTAGATGCTTTTTAGTTCTTAGTAAATCTTTTATATGGAATTTTGTTTGTTGGGTAACGAATTAACTGAGGGGTGGCTGAGAACTAAATGCCTTTAAAGAGACATTGCTTTGTTTTTTTCCTGGAAAAAGAAAATTATGATTGAAATATATCAATCAGTCCAATCAGTGTTTATGGCCTACTCAATGCCAAATTTTTATGTATTCATAAAAATGGGTAGAAGAAAATAACATGAGGATGAAGGAAAGCCCAAGAGAGATATAGATACTTTTGGAGAACATTTTCTCAAACTGAGATATGGGGAGTGCCTGCATCATAGTTCCCCAAAGTATGCATTTTTTTTTTTTGAGTTGGAGTCTCACTCTGTCGCCCAGATTGAAGTGCAGTGGCGACCTGCTGGGCTCCAGCAATCCTTCCGCCTCAGCCTTCCAAGTAGCTGGAACTACAGGCGCGCGCTACCACGCCCGGGTAATTTTT